TAAACGTAAGGCTAGTGAATCTGCCACCTTAACAACCTGGTTGGCAGAGCAAGAACGGGAGATATATTTCATATTTCGTATTTATTACATGGGAAAATCCATGCAAAAATTTTGGAGCGCTTCACGAATTGCGTGTCCTCCCTGCGCAGGGGCCATCTTCTCTGTATTGTTCCAATTTTAGTATATGTTCAGGAATGGGAAATAACGAGAAACCAATTATTCGAGAGTATTTTGTTGATGATCACGAAAAGTCTGCAGTTTTTTACATTCAAATGTGGCTAAGAAAGTAAACCAGGGGTGCATCAGAGGAAAGCGAAGATGTCCGAGCACTGAATGTGCTCATTCGGAGCATCACTGCCAGTGCTTCACAGTCTCTTAGGAGCTACCGTATCCGCGCCAAACGCAAAAAGATGAATGGCGGAGGAGCTCATTGGATGTGACATTTGAATAACAAAGAGGCAAGTGGGACGGCAACAAGGGCTTGCTCTGAGCGGAGCCTGAAGCGCACTTCTTGAGCTATTCTCAGAACGATGCTATTTTAATGAAACAAGTCTGAGAAGGCCGTTAAGAATGTTCTCAATTGTATTAGCTAAGTGCTGCTGATTAGCACTTCTTGAATAGCCGTGAGTAGAACTGTACACTGCATCTTCTCGTCTCTTCAGAAAATTTTGTCATTTTCTTATCGTAATAAACCCCAAGATATACCTTTTTCTTCCGAAACTTCGACACATCAGCAGTCCCTCCAAAAATTTTCTTTATGTGCTACTATAATAATGACAACGAAATTCTGGAAGTATTCATAAATTTTCCCGTCTTGCAGAAAAATAAATGTGACATCAAAATATGCAGCATGGTTTTCTTAGCAAGCGTTTTACCTGCTCCACGCTTCTGTCCAGAGTACCTCTTTGGCATAAGGAAGTAGATAAACGAAACCATGTATCAGTTTGCTATATCGATTATAGCAAGGACTTCGACTCCATGTTGCCTTGCTTCTTTAAAAAGCTTCCGGCCTACGGTATCAGTAGACGCTGGCATCGTCTCATATCCCATTTTCTTAACGATGAGCATCAGTTAATGCAAATAGGAAAAGCATGCTCCAGGACATATGTACTACAAGCAGTGTACCTCAGTGGTCACGTTTAGGGCCACTGATGTTTCTCATCTACATCAATGATCTTCCAGAAACTTTTACTGGCACTGTACATAGGAGTCGAAAACTTGGTAACCCGATAGAGAGGGCATGCTTCATGCGATTTGGAAAAAAACTCACAATTTCGACTTTTCTTAATGGTTCTACTCTAACATGTGTTCGAGAACTCCGTGATCTTGGAGTAACCTATACTGATACTTCAACTATAGCGAATATATTGCAGATATAACTATGCAGTATACTCGTGCCCTAATTTTATTATGAAACCTTTTAGAAGTTGAGATCCTGCCATACTTTTTCATCTATTCTTCACTTATGTAAAAGCTATCCTCTAGTACTCTACACCTACACGGCCTCCTCAGCAAAATTGCTTAATAGAACACTTCAGAAGAGTACAGAACTGATATAAGAGTAGAATTTTTGCTACAAAAAGACATCTTCAGTCTCTGCTACTCGTCTCGCTTAAAGAGACGCGACATTCTTTCGCTAAGAGATCGAAGGCTACTTACAGACGTAATGACCACGTATAAGCTAACAACCAACGAAATGTGTCTTAACCTTTCTGACCTATTTCAGCTATCTGATTTCGTTCAACTAACTAGAGGTCATTCATTCAGAATTAAAATTTACAGATTCAATAGTACTTTTTTCGTTATCCATTTCTTTGCAGGGTTTTGTCTTTGTAAAATACTTGCATCTGAAGTTGTTCGCATAATCAAGATCCTCATTTTTTCGAGAACACCTTGTCACTCATCTGCGGACAAGAAGCATAAT